AAACAAAAATTTTTAAATGTAGTTAAATGAAAAGAAATGTCGACGTCTGACGTTTCGGTTTATTAAAACCGATTTTTTTCAAGACAATATTCATGAAAAAAATACAATTCAGTTCAATATAACAAATACTTTATGGACATAAAAAAACAAGTCTTAATTTCGATAACAGATAACTGAAAATTTTTAAAATATCAGCCTTAATAAAAATGGTCAGGAGGATTCGTCAAGCAGGCGACGCACGGTGAATACTATTCCTGGTTTTTTTAATATTTTTTTTAATGAAATTGATGCTCGAAAATGAAAAGAATTCTAAGAGGTTTGGAACCTAATAAAATTCGTGTTTTCGAACATAAACGAGATATTCGTCTCAAAAATAATTTTAACAAACTTTAGTTGAATATGTAAAGCAAATCGTATTCCATTTGACGTGAAAGTATTAAAATATTTTATAATAAAAATCTGATCATTTAAAAATTTTCAGGTATCACGCACGGTGAATACTAGACCTTTTGTTTTAATATGTCCATCTTTTTTGTCATATTGAACTGAATTGTATTTTGATGAATTTTGTCTTGAAAAAGGTTTAATAAAACCGAAACGTCAGACGTCGACATTTTCATTTTAACTACATTTAAGGATTTTTTGTTTGTTTTTTCAAAATTTCTTCATTCTGTCGGATTTATATCCATTTTGCTTATATATATATATATATATATATATATATATATATATATATATATATATATATATATATATATTATATAATAAGTTTGGGTATGTAATCTCAACTGAGTTATAAGTTACAGACATTTGGAAAAACGTTCATGAAAGTATGTTTCAAAAAGATCTGATAATTTAAAATTAAATGATTTTTTTTAAAAGACACTCATTTTCTTTCTCTTTTTTTAGTCTCATGCAATGTCAGGTTGGAAAAAATAATATAAGATTTAATTATTTTAAACACATACAAATCCTACACATTCAACACATTATCCATCTGAGGAAGCCATATAAGGTGAAATGCATTATCAGATATTATTTTCGAAACATACTTTCATGAACGTTTTTCCAAATGTCAATAATATATATATATATATATATATATATATATATATATATATATATATATATATATATATATATATGTATTTGGATTTTTTGTAGGTCTTGAAGATTGAGAGCTGCTTTTTAGAGCTCTCATGAAATAAAAATTATTACCTATTATTACCTATGGAATTTTAAGTGTTTGATATTCTTTAATTAATAATATATATGCACATTTCCTTGAATACAACAGACAAGGTGCTTTTATTTAGTTTTTTATACAATTTCTCATGCGATCTAATAATTTTTTCTTTTCAGATGATAAATTATATAAAAATTGTCTGAATGTTCTTTTTATCCGAGCGCTTTCGGCTATACATTTAGCCATTTTCAAGGATTAAATATTTTAACTGTTAAATAAGAAATTCATGAAAGAAGGATTGCTGTCTGAATACACAAATTTTAAATTGCATACATACATATATATATATATATATATATATATATATATATATATATATATATATATATAAATATATAAATTTTTAAATGGAATTTTTAAAATTTGACATTATTTCTTATTGCTATAAACATAAAATATATCCTCTTTTTTCCATTAAAATCATGATTTAGCTATAGGAGTGGTTTTCCTGGTAGTAAAAAGGAGATACAAATTTGAGCCCCGTCCAGATGTATATTTTTCTTCTTGGTCTAGGCCAGTTGTTATTAATTTGACTTTTTTACAAAAATAAAAATCATGGATAGCATCTTAAAAATATGTACCCAATAAAAATAACATTTACAGCAATAAGAAATACATACTGACATACAGACACACACACACACACATATATATATATATATATATATTTCTGAGATGAGGTATTATGTACATTATTTACATTATTTGAACTATTGTCCTCGTCTTTGCCGCCATATTTATTACAACGTTTTGGCCATTGTATACTCTGGCCTTCTTCAGGTGGTTGGAATGTCAAACTGAACCCTTTATTTCGCTCACTGGGGTAGACTGTTCTAGTTCCATGTGCCATTAACTGGGTATTGAACTCACACTCTTTGGGTCCTTATCACTGGATCTAACCAATGCCTTTATCCACTGTGCCATATATATATATATATATATATTTATATATGTTTGATTAACTTGTAAGTTACAGAGAAAGATAAGATAACACAACATTTAAAACATATAAAATTATTAATCTGCAAAGTTACAGCTTTTAGAAATGCATTGTTATTAATTTATTAGAAGTTTTATACTTTTCAAGTGACACACTTTAGAATAGAGCCAATGATATTTCTGTTAAATATTTGTACATATTCTTGTGCTAACTACCACATCCACATGTCAGGTACAAATAAAAGGATAGTGTATCAAGTAGACAGTTCAAGTAACAGTCCATGTAAAAGGCTGAGTTGAAGTAGTAAAAGGAGTTACTAAGAAATCTTCTTGTGTGTAGTTTATTTCCTGTTGTATGGCAACTGTCCTCATATGAAGTAACTGTTTTAAAAAAGGGAAAACAGTTTTTGTAAATCACCTCAACTATATCTGGATTATAAAAGTTTGGGATTTACAGATTATCTGCTTTCTTCTTTTCATTTTCTTTTTTCTTTGTGAATGAGTTGAATATCGTTACAAGGTTAAATTTTCACTCTGATCAATCTTCCACAAGGTAACAAGCCTCACCTACTCAGTGTTAAAGTATTGAACTGTACACCTTGAAATCTATAGTAAGAAGCAATTAGTCACTGACATTTCTGTGATTATCAAAGAGATTAAACATGGATGAATAATGTGTTTTAATTTGTAAGGTTTTCCACTTGACAACAGTTAACACCAGTAAGGACATGACAGATACACACTTGCTGATAAGGAAAACAAGAAGAAAGGATAAACTACTAACAGTAAAAAGACAGAATACATGATCATCAGCAAAAGAGATAGCTCAAGTTGCAAGTTATGTATTGGGGATGTCAAAATAAAGCAGGTGCAGAAATTTAATTACCTGATTAGTGTTATAACAGATAATCAAACAAGTAATACAGAATGGAACATGTGATACAGAAATCCAAAGATGTATGAAAATAGAGAAAGATGTCTTCTAGAAACTAAGCTTTTTTTTTAATCATTTCACCCCAAGCAAGGTAGGAATGCTACTAGTATGCAAGGGGTTACAGGGAATGAAAGTGAGAGAAAAGACTGAGTATAGGAAGGAGTGAGAAAAGGATAAAAGATGAATGGAATTCAACAAGATGGTGATTAACATTGCATTTCAGTTTTTGAAGATTGTACTTATCAGGAAAGCAAATAAATGGAAGGGTGTTCCACCATTGGGAAGTGCAAGAAAAAAATATCAGAGTAAAATTAGCGTTTGTATTTTGTTATTTCAACAGTAAAAGTGTGGGACCTATATGCCAATCTAGTAGCACACTTAAATTCATGTAGTTGGGACACCAGGTAAAAAAAAGCTCATCAATGCAGTTGCTATGAAAATATTTATAGAAAAGACAGAGTGAAGCCACGCCAAGTCAGTGAGAAAGTGACTGAAGTTGAGATGCCTGATTCTTTGGATTTTGTCAAGAATATGGAGATGTACAGCAGGAGCAACAGACCAGATATGGCAACAGTATTCAATGCATGGACAAATTGTAGATTTTTTTAATGTGCAAGATGGATTCTGATGAGAAAAATTTTCTGGCATGACACAGTGAGCCAAGAGATGCTAAAATTTAATTAGAAACAAATAAAAGAGTGCTGAACAGCTATGTAATACCTATTCTCCTATGAAACAGTAAATTCAGGACAATTAGATGAAGAACAGATGAGAAGTCACAGAGATGTAATTGCATTGGCAAATGCTAAAGATATGAAAAGAGCATAAAATCAACAAGAAAATTTCAAGGAACTTTATACATACAATCAGAATGAAATTTCTGGGACACATAATGAAGAAAGATGGCCTGGAGAATTTAATACTCACAGGATATATTGAAGGCAAAACAAGAAGCAAGGGACATAATGTAACCTACTTAATGAGTTGCTGGGAATGGATGGCAGAACAAGGATGGTAAAATATAAAAAGACAGGAAGTTGTGGAGAGCCATGATTGCTTACTACCTGAAGGGATATGGCAAGAGATATATACCTTAGTGGTCAGAAAAGCAGACATCTGACTAAGAAGGATTCTATCTTCAGTGTCAGATAAAAAAGTCAAGAAAAGGCTTAGAAATTTTAAACATGAAAAAAGAATGTTCATTATTTGCCATCTTGAAATTATTAGACAGCAATAAGTCATTTAAGAGAAGTTTAACATGTAAAAAAATGAACTTATTGTATAAAAATCTGAAAAATATTCACAGATGAGTATTAATTGAATAGTTATAATGCGAGATTTTGTGTATGTGTTTAGTATAGGGTATTTTGCTTATGTCACTTGTAGTGCTTTCTCTTTCTACTACACACCACAAGCGTCATCTACAGAATTACTACTGACCCCTAGTAAGCAATGTAGCTGCTTATATAGTAAACAGCAGGTGTTGATACATTTGCATAGGTGTAATGTCCATTTCTTCAAATCATGGTTGATGTGCACATGTGCTTCTAAGCCTTGAAATGGATTTCCTGTTACAGCTGCTGCAGCAGCTTGAACATGCTTCGTAATAGGTAAGCCATGCTCTGCATTACTACAGTGTAGAGTTTTTGAGGAAAATCATCAATGAAGTGTCTACTGTAGTGTAATGGTAAACAAGCTAGTCTCACAAACTAATGCACAGGTGTAGTGAATTTGATCCTCACCCTGTGTCCCATTTGTACTAGGTTAAGCTAATCTATATCAAGTAGAAAGTATTATCAATATAAGTATTTATTAATAAATATTTCTCTCTCTCTTCATACCTATCTATCTGTCTATCTATCTCAATTTGTCCACCTCGCTATGTATCTATCTATCTCAACTTGTTCATATCTTTCTATCTCAATAAGTTCATTTCTACCTATCTGTCTCAATTTGTTCATCTCTCTCTCTCTCTCTCTCTCTCTATCTATCTATCTATCTATCTATCTATCTATCTATCTATTTATCTATCTATCTATCTATCCATATTGTGAATTTGTAAACAGTGACTATTACTGATAATAACACAAGACTCTCCCAACAGATTGAGTTCTCTGGTCACTGGCGTATTTATAAAAAAAATGTCGCATTTCTCTCTGCCAGGCGCCAATAGCCTAGGGGTTAGAATCTCCGACTGATGCCAAATTGGTCAGATTCCAGCTTGAAGCAATCAGATGTCTAGTCACACTAATGAGCTGTGAAACAGTGAAACAGTCTGTCTATGGATGATACACACACACACACACACACACACACACACACACACACATATATATATATATATATATATTTCAATTTGTTTATCTATCTCAATTTGTTCATTTCTCACTCTCTCCTCCACTCTCACTTTCTCTTTCTCTATTAATCTATCAGTCTGTCACAATTTGTCTATCTCTGTCTGTCTATCTATCTAAATTTTCTCATATCTATCTATCTATCTATCTATCTATCTATCTATCTATGACAGTATTTAATCTATCTATCTATGACAGTATTTAATCTATCTATCTATCTATCTATCTATCTATCTATCTATCTATCTATCTATCTTTGGAAGTATTTAATCTATCTAACTATCGATCAATCTATCTATGGCAGTATTTAATCTATCTATCTATCTATCTATCTATCTATCTATCTATCTATCTATCTATCTGTCAATCACAATTTGTTCATCTCTGTCTCTATCTCTTTATATATCTAAATTTGTTCATCTCTCTTTATCTATATATCTAACTCAATTTGTTTATCTCTCCTTATCTATCTCAAATTCCTCTTTCACTCTTGCTCAATCTAATCTATCTATCTATCTATCTATCTATCTATCTATCTATCTATCTATCTCAGTTTGTTCATCTTTCTATCTTTCTCAATTTGTTCATCTCTTTCTCTCTATCTATCTATCTCTCTCTATCTATCTATCTATCTATCTATCTATCTATCTATCTATCTCAATTTGTTTCCATCTGTCTGTCAATTTCTCTGTTATCACATACATAACATGATAATCCACTCCAGTAGAAGTGGATTAATGCTACTTAGCCATTCCAGAATAACCAGTTAACCTATGAAAGGTTCTCCATCAAAAATGGCATCCAGCAGTGGAATAAAACACTTTAAAAAAAAAAAGTACTTATCAAATTAATGTTGCCTTCAGGGCAAATCCATATTAAGGCCCATTGGTGATGTAAACTCTGCCTAACAATGTCCACCTCAATAGCCCTCCCCTGATAACAATAAATCCGAAGGTTACTGCTTTTAATTTAGTAATTTAATATATTATTATAGTTAAAATAATGTATTATTGGTGTATGCATCAATTATAACAAATTTAGTATAGGACAGAGCTTCTCAAACTATCTGATATGACAGACCGGCATTTTTTTTCTCAATGTGTCATATACCTGTAATATTTCAGGGTAATATTAAATAATACCGGAAACCATATATATAATGAATATAATAAAAGTTGACAACTTTTTATCTTCCATTTATTTTGCAAAAAATAATTCAATATCAAAGAATATAAAAAGTAATAAAAAATAAGCAGTTTATTAACATAAAAACAAAAATCAAATAACCTTAATCTTTACAAATGATTCCTAAGCATGGCCTGGACACTGACCATGTACCGGTAACTGATAGTTCTCATACTGGTACCAGTCCACAGACCACCATTTTGAGTAGCACTAGTATAGGTGATAAAGAAATTGAACATAGAATAGGTTGTGCTAGAGGTAGTTTCACCCATCTTCATCAAGTTGCTATAAAACCAAAACATTAACCTGAAATCTCAAATTATGTTCTTGTCAGATCAAGACATTTTTTTTAAGCATTTCTCCCCACAAAAGGCAATAAGGCCACTGGGATGTAGGGGGGTTACAGGGAGTGAAAGAGAATGAGAAGACTTTAGTGAAGAAAGGTCAGAGAAAAAGACAATATAGGAACAGGATTCAGGAAGATAGAAGATGGCAATTGGCATTGCATTTAAATTTTTGAAGATTGTAGGTGGCAGGGAAGCAAGAAACCAGAAGAGTGTTACACAGGTGAGAAGTGTGAGAAAAAAAATTATTAGAATAGAACTGAGAGTTGCATCTAAATAGTTCTATAGTAAAATGGTGAGACCTAATTGCCAATCTAGTAGCAGGCTTAAATTCATGCAGTTGAGGCACTAAGGAGCTCATCAGAACAATTGCCATGAAAATATTTGTAGAAAAGACAGAGGGAAGCTATGTCACGTCAGTGGGAAAGTGACTGAAGTTGAGATGCCAGGTCAGGATTGATCAAATTACAAACCCTTTTTTTGAATTTTGTCAAGAATCTCGAGATGTATAGTAGGAGCATCAGACCAGATATGGCAACAGTATTCAATGCCAAGATGAATGGTAGCATTCTAAATGTACAAGAGGGATTCTGACCAGAAGAATTATTGGGCATGACATAGTGAACCTCTTTCCTAGCAGAAGATATTTTTATATAGAGGTTATGCATGGCACAAAACTCGTCCAGAAATATCTAAACTGTATTGTATGAAATAACAGAAGCCACATCATTTGAGGACTTTCAACAGCAGCAACAATTAAAATGGATAGTATATGGGACTTGAAGAGAAAATAATGGCATAATCAAGATTCTGACATTCCACACTACTTCAAGTAAAAGTTAGGAAGGCAACCCCCATTAATACTGGATTGAACAATAACAGGCACTGGATTAAGAAACCTATTTTCTTAAAAAATTGTTTTAAGAGAAAGATTTTATGAATTTTATCTTAAGGGAAGATTTTATAAATTTCAATCGAAAGCAGTACTGGCTGCTCAGTCAATGAATGCCAAATGTTTCCTTATAAAAAAAAACACACTAATATTACCATTAAATTTTTATTCTCTAGAAAAATAGAAAATATCTAAATCTTAATAGAATATATAATTTAAGGTAAGTGCAAATGAATGCAAATGCAATGTTATGTTTGTAACATTTGATAAGAATGAGATTTAATTTTTCGTACATAAAATAATTGCTTATTCACATCTAGATTTTGTCAAATTAATGTCAGTCATGGAGAATATACAATTTTCAAGGACTTTCTTCATATGATAGACTCTGCCTCCCCCCTCATAGATGGGGTGTTTATATAACTTCCTTTAATCAAGTTATCTTGTATGTGTATATCCTAAGTTCAGCTGAAGATTCACAAACTGAAAGTTAGTAAAGGAAAGAGAGAAGAAAGGACTATTACCTGTAAGAAGACAGAATCTATAGTCATCAGCAAAAGAGACAGATTCAGAAGGGTAAACTGAAAGAACTCTTAGACAGGTTAGTAAAGGAAAGAGAGAAGAAAGGACTATTAACTGTAAGAAGACAGAATGCTTGATTTTCAGGAATAGAGACAAGTCAAGGTGTGAGCTACTAATTCAGAATGTCAAAATCAGGCATAAGATTGAAATATATGTGTAGTATGATAACAGATAATAGGAAATATAACAAAGAAATGCAAAGGTATAGTGGAACAGGAAAAGATATCTTCCAGAACATAAATAAAGTATTAATAAATAGGAAAATCTCATTAGAATGAAAGAAAAAAGTGCTAAACTGTTATGTAATATCAATGAATGCTGGACAATTTCCTCACAGATAAAAAAGAGATTCAAAATGACAGTTATGTGATTTTACTGATAAATACTGAGAATACCATGGCCTGAACATGTGAACAACGAGGAAGCTTTTAGGAAACCAGGAATGACAAGAACATTTATATTTATAATCAGAATGAGACAGTTGAAATTACTGAGAAACATATTGAGGAAACAGAGCTTGGAGAAATTAACACTCAAATGACATATTGGAGGCAAGAGAGGCAAAGGAAATTAGTGAGTAAGCTACCTAATGAATTTGTATGAATGGATGGCAGAGTGTGGGCAAATAAGGATGTTAATGGTAATGGTAATATTAGTCATTTCCCTATAAGGAAACATTTGGCATTTATTGATCAAGCAGCAAGTACTGCTTTCAATTGAAATTTATAAATCTTCCTCTTAAAACAATTTTTCAGGAAAATAGGTTTCTAAGGCCAGTAGCTGTTATTGCTCTTTCCAATACTGATGATAGAATCAAAATTGGATTAAAGCTACAAGGGAGAGAAACTTGTGGATAGCCATGATTGCTCACATACTGAAGAGACACGGTACATAAAAAAGCGACTCATACAAGGTTTGTCTGAAAAGTAATGGGACTGGTGTCACAAACAATTTATTTTCATTTCAAACAACAAACTACATGGTTTCACCATCAAAGTAATCTCCCTTGAGTCAAATACATGTTTCCATCCTTTTCTACCACACTTCTTTGCACTGCTAGAAGGATTCATCTTGGATGCCCAACAACTTGTTGTTATGGCCCTCTTGATAGCCAGAGAAACTGCCAGATAGCTCAGGGTATTGTGAATAGGTGCATTGTCATGGGGAAACAAACACAATTTGTCCTGCCACAACTTTCATCTCTTCTCGAGCACTGAATATCTGTTTGTAGACTTGCTGATTGATCGTCTGGCCCTGTGGCAAGAACTCACTGTGGACAAAGCCTTTCACATCAAAGAAGAAACCCAATCCTGTTACTTTTCAGACAGACCCCATATAAGATTACTTTAAAAATGTTTAATGGTTTTTGAGTTTTGAAATTTAAAAAATTTGAAAAGTAGAAAGACAATAAGTCCAGCAAAAAATATTGAGATATTTTAAATAAAAAAAATGTGAATGAATTAAAAAGAGTTTTGTACATTGAATAATAATTTATCAACTTGAGTGTTTTAAGTTTTTGTTAGACTAAACACATTTTTAATGTACTTTTTCGTATTTCATAGCAACGATTCAACAACACCTTTTTTCTTACTTAACTATATGCACACTCACACATTTTGTTTCACTCTCCTCTTTATTTTACCTGTTTAGAGACACCAGTTGCAGTGAATATGTGTACCTTTTTTTAATATATGGAAGAAATAAAGTTTGTATTTAGTTACTTACTGTAAAGAACTTGGACACCTGACTAGAAAATTAATCTCTTGTAAGCACATTAATAAATCCATAGCCTGAGGATGAAAACAGTATTTACAATAAATATTTGTGAATATTATTTCTTTCCTTGTCAATGCACTTTTCACTGAATATTAATCATATAGATGAAACATTATACAATGAAAATTTTAGATCAAAATTCAGCCTATATGTCAGGCTATGAACGTATTGATGTGCTCTTGTATGTAGCTTTTTATAGACTTACTAGCATAGTACCCATAAAAATTATGATTATTTGGGTATTGATAAATTAGACACATTGCAAACAACAAAATGCATGTACTGAACAAAATATATTTTTCTGGGGATTTGTTCTCTTTAATATTTTCTGCTTTTAAAAATTTTGATATGACACTGAAACTGAGACATAATTGTCATCATCATCATCATCATCATCATCATCATCATCATCATCAGCAGCAGCAGCAGCAGCAGTAATAAGAGTTATAATACCAGCAGCAGTTGCTTACCTTCATCAAACACACAAACATAGTACAGCCCATTTTATGTCTTTATATTTAGAGCACTTCTTTCTTTTTATGTGCCATGTCATGAAAGGATATGGCACATAAAAAGGATGTAAGTGATCATGGATCCCCATCTCCCTCTATCCGTTCAAGCTCTCAACAAGTTCCTTCCTTCTGCTTCCTCACCCAGACCACGTTCTGTCATCCACTTGCTTAAATCTGTCAGGTATGTCATGCATTGTTTTCCCTTGTTTCCCTTTCCCTTTATTCGACCTGTGAGTGTCAGATTCTTCAAGCCCTCCTTCCTCATTATATGACCCAGAAACTTTAGCTGACTCTTCATAATATTAAGTATAAGCCTCCTCCTTGTTTGCAACTTCTCATCGTTGCTCAGATGCTTGGTCCATATCCATTGCTGTGGGTATAGA